CTTAATCTGTTGAAGGGGATTCTGATACTCATTGTTCAGGTTTGTTGGTAGATAAATATTAAGTGTGTAAAGCCAACCAGACCATCAATAGCTCAAAATCAATGCCTAGAGTGATGACAAAACAGAATAACTTCTCTACTGCATCACTTAATTCCATTTTATGTGTGCAGAAGATACTGAACTTCACGTTGTCAGGTAACATGCCCAGGTGACACACTTGACTGATGGCCATGAGGTAGGCACTCAGGTGTTCTTTTCACTAGATTGTGAGGAGAAGAACATCCAGATGGAAAATACCTTTCTTTGAACCCAGTGACTCTTAGCAAATGAACACCTTACGTAACAAGTCAACTCTGAACATCATTTAAAAAAAACTGACACAACAAACCATAGCTCTTGATAAAAAATAATCCTTTTGACGAGACATGGCGATGTTGGGAGAGCACAGGCTGTAGAGACATGAAGACGTGAATTCAAATACAAACTCCACTCTAAGTCTTCTCTTCGATGAACTGCAAAGAGTAACCTCCTCGTTAAGACTTAACGGGCTGTTAAATAGGATGCAGGGATCAACACAGGCCTTGGCACACAGACTCTACTGGCCAAATACTTCACGTCTTTTTTTTTCTTTAAGATTTTATTTATTTGAGAGATAGAATGAGATAGAGAGAGAGCATAGGGGGGGAGGGTCAGAGGGAGAAGCAGACTCCCCGCTGAGCAGGGAGCCTGATGTGGGACTCGATCCCGGGACTCCAGGATCATGACCTGAGCCGAAGGCAGTCGCCTAACCACGTGAGCCACCCAGGCGCCCCAAATACCTCATGTCTTAACCTCATCCCTTCCCTTAAGACTCCAGGGAAAGTTCACGGTCAACCTTTGCAAGCAGAGGTTACATTTCCACCATGAAAAGTTATTTTCTCTCTCTCTCTCTCATTTTTGGTTGGATTTTGATGGGTGGCAGTTACCGGTTGTGCCAGCCAGTTTTTGATGCACAACAAACCATCCAACATGTAGTGACTTTAAACAACCAATTCTTTTGGTCACAATTCTGCAGGACAATAACTTCAGCTGGGCTTAGCTGAGAGGTCCTTTTGCTGTTCTCAGAAGGCTTGCTTATGCATCTGTGGTCAGTGCCCCTGGCTCTGCTCTGGGGCTGCATGGTCCACGACGGTCTCACCCACGACGGTCTCACCCACACTTCTGGCAACTGGTTCACTGTCAGCTGTGGTGGAGGGATGCACGGGCCCTGGGTCTCTCATCATCCACCTAACCCATGCTTCTTCACATGGTTGTTCTCTTGTGTCAAGAGCAGCAAGAGAGGGCAAACCCTGGTGTGCAAGCACTTTTCAATTCTCTGCTTGCTTCACACTTGCTAGTGTTCCAGTGAACAAAGCAAATTCCATCGCCAAGGCCAAGGGCAATGTGGGAGGAGATACGGGCAGGCACGTACAAAATACAGTTGTTACTGTAACAGTCTACTGTTACAGTAGTTTGTGAAATGACCCTGTTCATCATTAGAGAAATACTTAACTATGGGTGCACCAGATAGGGGAATGAATGCTAGCCTCTCAAAAATGACTTTTACTCTTCCGTGGAAAAAGTCATAGCTATCTTACCCTGTTATCAGTCTACTAGGTGGATAATAAAATTATTTTATGAAATTCTGCCAAAAAAGACCAGTTTGAAATTTTCCTGGCATTGTACCATACCTGTAAATTGTGGATCCCCTTATCCAGAAATGTGCTCTGACTCTGCCAGTAGGAATGCAGCCTGCCCCTCTTTCCGTATCATAATGCTGCTATTCCTCTCCCTTCCAAAAAATACGCCCCCAGCAGAGACCTACTGCATAGGCATCATCTGATGGGGAAGTGATGGACTAGACTAGGAAGCGGCCCCTCTGGTAAGACGAGGAGAAGCTACGTGCTAACCGTACACTTGTGATGTGGCTGGGGCCTGGTTGGGCCACTCGTCCCCGCAGTCACCAGCCCCACCTCCCAGCTTTGCTTAGAGTTCCTCTTGATTCATTCAAGCCATCTTTCCAAGCTGAGTCCGAGCTCTATCGTTTTCTACTACAGCGTCCTAACTATATTGTTCAGGATCCCTTGGTATTTGATTTACTGTGTGGTGGTTGATATTGCTACCGTGAAGGCCATCATTTCCCCATTATATTTTCTATGTGATTACTGCTGGCATACATGAAAGCATTGCTGCTTTAAATATTAATCCTTCATTCTACCATCGAAGGCAATTCATTTTTACTCATTTCTTAGGCTTTTCCCAAGAAGATATTCATATCATTTGGAAATAATGAAAATTTTGTCTTCTTCACTAAAACAATGCTTTTTTTTCCTCTTTACAATCTCCTTACACTGGAAAGACCGTCTAAAGCAAAACTTAATAATACTGGTGAAAATAGATATATTTGCCTAGATCCTGATTGTAATGGAATTTTTTCTAGTTGTTTTAACATCATTTGTGTATTTGTATATTAGACACACTGAGGAATACAGCCTGCAAGTATCTACGTTCCTACTTTGTTTTTAATTGCGGGCTGTCACATTCCACCAAATGTTCTTTGATCATCCATATACTATTAAAATATGGTCAACACTAGTAGTATCTCTAGTGGTTGAAGTCATTCTCTTTATGTCTCCACTTTATCGTTTTCTTCTTATGCAACCCACACATTTTTGTCCTATTATCCTCTAGATATTGCAGGTGTCTGTTGCCACCGGGAACAGGATCGTTTTTAGGAGCTATTCTGAGTATACATGGAGGACAGCAGACCCTGGGAAGCTGATCTCACTTGTTATTTAAGAATTGGGCTGTTGGGGCGCCTGGGTGCCTCTAGTCGGTTAAGTGTCTGACTCTTGATTTTGGCTCAGGTCATGATCTCAGGGTCTCATGGGGCTCCGCACTGGGCATGGATGGAACCTGCTTAGGATTCTCTCTCTCTCCCTCTCCCTCTGCCCCTCCCCTTCCCGCTCACATGCTCTCCTTCTCCCTCCTTCCCTCTCTCCCTCTCTCTCTCTCTCTAAAAAAAAAAAGTCCTTTGCACTTACATTTCAGATTCTACTTCCCTTTGATGAGGGATTATTTCACTGAAAAGGGAGTTTTCGTGATCCTGGTCACTTGACGCCAGCCGAGGGTCTGTGGGTAAGAGAGAGACAAAGATGCCTAAGCTGCAGTATGGCAAAAGTTAGGGGACATCAGAGGTCTTCTCCATAAGGCTACTGTTAGAGCAGGGAAACACTAAGAAAAACTGAAAAGGTGAGGGAAGGCTTTTGCTTGTTAACTTTTTGGCTGTGATGGGCCACGTCTTGGCCAAGAGGACAGCATGACCAAACAGAGAGGTGGTGAGAGAGCACCAAGGGGCCTTGCTGGAGTCCCACACCGGGAGCCTCATTAAGCATCAGACTGAGAAACATGAAGGGATTTCTATAGGCATGTTTTCCAAAACCTGAAGCAGTACCTATCAATGAGAAAGACAGAGAAAGGTGGAAGTGTGTGGAGGATGAAGATTGTTGGGACTTCATAAAAGGCGACTTGGGTAGGTTCTGCAGCTGTTGGGTGAATAGGACTCCAAGTGCCAAGGGCTGAAAGAAGTAGGCGAGAAGTTTACTCTAGGAAACTGAGAAACAGAGGCCAGGTAAGAGGTCAATAGGAGTTCAAGGAAAGTGTTAAGTTATGGGCTGTGCCAACATGCCCAGCAAGGCCAAGAACCTGCCACCCGGAATCTAGGAAACCTCATTTAAAATGGAGTTGGGTGGCTAGCAGCGGGACCTCTCATGCCCTACCACTGCAGTTAACTGCAGACCCCAACAAGGACAAAGGGTGCCTGGCATTCCCAGCAGGACGCAGCTTACTTTCCTACTCCAGCAGGAGGAAGGAAGAATTTCTCCTCGCCCGGCAACAAGCTCAGCCAACAGGAAAATACCACAACGGGGCCCATGAGAAAAACGTCAGCACCTGGAACTGTCGCTCTCCTCCAGTGGCCTTTTCCTTCACAGCAATCTCTCCCAGCTGCCTCCTTTTCCCTAGAGAAGGTTCCTCTGGTCTGATCTCCAGACTGGCCTATGGGGTGCCATAGTTTGCCTGCCCCAAACTGCAATTCCTCCGCTACACCCAAATCAACCCATTTTGCTGATAAACTATAACCGGCTGTTTTACCTTTTAGGTGGACAAACCTGTTCAAGAACTAAAAGGGTATGATATGACTCAGCAAAGGTTAGGTACCATTTTGCCAAGAATACTGAGGATCATTTTGACAACCCCGGGCCCTCCTAAACATAAGGCGGTAGCATTCATTATGGGCAATGACGATGCCCTTGACCTTACCGCCTGTAAAATAAGGGTATGTGTTTCATACAACCTGCCGGGGAGGATGAGGAGAAAGGTCCGGCCACGCCACAGCCAAGTGCAACTCAAAGGGCCACGTGGAAGCGATCTTGGCCCCGGTCACAATGCGGGAATTGAACCCCGCGTGGAAAGAGATTTCCAGCCTGGGAGGTGCGGGACGCCTGCGCAGTGGGCCCAAGGCGCCGCGCGCGCTGCGGGAGCCGCGAGACCCCCGCCCCCGCCCCTCGCCCTGCAACGTGAACGCGCACGTGAATCGGGAGGCGGACGCGGACGCGCACGCGAATGCGCCTCACCTCGCTCAACCCCTGGCCCGCGGCTGAAGAAGGGAGGCGCACGCGGGAGCCGCGGGTGGGCGGTGTGCGGAGTGGCGGACCCGCTGGCGGCGGCGGCGGCGGCACGGGGGCGGAGCGGCGGCAGA